TCTCTGACCTTATCCACATCAGGACCAAAATTATCAGTAAAAGCAGACTACAGCAATGCCTAAATTCAATTAAACCCATTAGTTCACCAAAACCTTACAAAAATATGAAACTTACAGGAATCAGTACTCATTTTTTTTAACCAGACAGCAATTCTACACTTAAGGCTGTGACTACATAAAAATAGTAACATCAAGCATCCCAGGGGAATAAATTCCACGTACGTGAATATTTCACACAGCTATAGTTAACTTTTAGAACATTTTCTAAAATAAAGTATCTTAAAGGTAATCTATTTTAAATATACCCACTACTGGCCACAATGGATATTTCAAAAAATGAAATACAACTAGGAACCTATTCTATCAGAAAAGAGAAGATAGAAATTTGGAGGTTCCTATATTTTTCCAGTAATGTGCCTTAATGGGCCCAAAACAGCAGTTATCTGATAATGCACTTTACGATTCAAATAGATTTTATCATTTGCACAGAACTTGCACTTAAATGTCAAGCATCACCGTAATACTGTCAGAGCTATTATTCACATCTTACACATCCGGAAGTTGAAAGTCCAGAGAATTTAAGTTGCATGTGTAGATGACTCTTTGAGTAGGCAGTGCTCCAAATCCAGGCTTATTAACAAAAATAAATACATGAGAAGGGTTGCATATATTACTCTCCACCTACAGGTAATCATTCAGAAGTAATTTCAAGAATTGCAAATCACTCTGTGGCAGGGAGTAAGAAGCTTCTATTTATAACTTGGGTAATAATATCTCATTGTTAACTTCAACAATACAAATTGATTTTCTAACCAATGGAGTAACAAACTGTCAATATAAAACCATGACATATAATGATGGTTCTCGTAATAGTCCAGCTTGGGTTTCTTTCTTTTTCAAACCGTATTTTTGCAGGAAGCAATGATATAAAAGTGCAGGGTGACCTCCAGTGGACACATGTTTCTACAACAGTGTAATTTCATCACAAACTATGCATTTCTAAACTACCAAAAAAGTGTTTTAAAGAGTCTTTGAAATTAACAGCACTCAGACATTTAACTGTAACTGTCCTTTTTAAACTATTCCTCTATATAATGAGTAAGATGCACAATAATACTTTGTGCTTTTTCAATGGAAAGATTAAAGGTTTAACAAATTATCATTAAAGCTTATTTTAATTTCAGGATGGATGGCAGGGGTGATAAGATCACAAACAGATCGTAGAAGATCTAATGACCCACTTTACGAAATACTGATCACTGCTTCCTGCCCAGAGTAAATAACCATACATTCTTATTAATATACTAACTGTAATAGCAATTATTTCTGAAGACCAAGGCACTGTTCTATATTTATCACATATATCTTTTTTAATCTTCACAAACTCTGTGGGAGACACTACTATCTTCATTTTACAGGTGAGAGATGGAAGTGCAGAGAGGTTAAGCAACTACTTCAAGTTAGAAAACCAAAAAGCAGCAGGACTAGGATTGGAACCCAAGGAATGTGATTCTAGAGACATCTTCGCTCTTAACGCTGTACTGCCTCCCTCACTATCATTATGTAAAACATCATTTTTTAGATGATTTACCATCAGCTATCGTATCAGCTTTAGAACATCCTAAAAACACTGACTTATTTAATAAGCCAGTAGACATTCTGAGAAAACTCAAGCTATAAATAAAGTAGTTCTAAGAGGCCTTCAGGCTTTCATGTGGTCCTGTTTACTCTCATGTCACACCCAAGTCTAGCAAGATGAGTTATCTGAATTCCCAGCTCTCTACTCACAGCAGACAATAAAGTGGGTAGGGTTTCGTAGGCAGTGCACCGACAATGATGTTGGTCTGCAAGTGGAGGAAGGCCACAGCAAAGCAAAGCAACTTAAGGACTCAAAGGAGTACACAGGCTAGAGGCTACTGGGAGGAGAATGAAGGGCATAACATCCCTCCAAAGGTACTACAGGCCTACCTGAGTTAACTTACTAATTATCAACTCCCAATTTACCCCTCCCCTCTCCCTCTCCTCCCGGTAGCCAGAAGTTTGTTTTCTATGTCTGTGAGTCTGTTTCTATTTTGTAGATAAGTTCATTTGTGTCATTTTTTTTTTTTAGATTCCACATATAAGTGACATCACATGGTATTTTTCTTTCTCTTTCTGGCTGACTTCACTTAGTATGATAATCTCTAGGTCCATCCATGTTACTACAAATGGCATTATTTCATTCTTTTTTATGGCTGAGTAGTTTTCCATTGTGTGTGTGTGTGTGTGTGTGTGTGTGTGTGTGTGTGTGTGTGTG